CACTGCTCCTGCCCCGAGTTCCAAGGGGGAGAGTTCTTTCCACATACCTGATGGTGGGGCTTCTGTCCCCACCATTCCCCCACAATCCACCTGGCTTTACTGCCTACCAAGTGTCAAACAGCGCTTGTGTTGTGCATGCTGTAATCATTGGAAAGACACTTAGAGCCACTGGGCAAAATTATTTTATACAATTTTGATCGCTAAAACTGAATGTGATTCTTAAGCATTGCAACTAAGGAAATAACGCATGACAAAATGAATAGTGATGAAAGTTAGGGCAGATCTAAGGTGTCTAACTGGAAGGCTTCCTCAGGGTGAGCATGAGAAGGTGGGTTAGAACTTGTCTAGAAGCTGGAGGGTCACGTGCTATCTTGAGGTCTCTTCCTGGTCGGTGGGTTTTTTCCTGTCTCTGTTACTGTCCCTTTCTCTGTACTTCTTACTCTGAGCATCAACAACCCCCCCTCCACACACTCACACTCACACTCAGTGTGACCGTTTACAGCTGATGTGCTCATGATCATAAACCTCTCTGCTCACGAACAAACACAGGAGAAGCGTGTTCTTAGGTATTCCCATTCCGCGATTCTGCAGTCACACACGGGACGCCACAGCGGGCCCTGCATAGCTAGAGGTTGCGTGTCTGTGGATCCCGCCTACCATGATGGAAAATATCAGGGGGGAAAAAAAACATGTATTAAACGTGTAGTAGACTCATCTTGCTTGCCTTTATTCCCTAAATGATAAAGTATTGCAACTGTTTACATAGATAACAATAAACTAATCTGGAGATACTTTAAAAATATGCATTAGGGTGTGCCTAGGTTCTACAGAAATTTCTGTAAGGGACTTGAACATTCAAGGATGTTGGTATAAATACACTTTTTCAAAGCCTTAATTATTTTTATCTAAAAGATTTAAGAGAGAGAAAGATCTTCTATCCTCTGGTTCACTCCCTAAATGGCCATAACAGCCGGAACTGAGCTGATCCAAAGCGGGGAGCCAGGAGCTTCTTCCAGGTCTCCCACACAGGTGCAGGAGCCCCAGGCTTTAGACCATCCTCTGCCATCTTCCCAGGCCACAAGCAGGGAGCTGGATGGGAAGTGGAGCAGATGGGACATGAGCTGGTGCCCTTATGGGGTGCTGGTGCTGCAGGCAGAGAATAACCTATCCACCATGCCAGCCCCCACTACACCTTTAAGATAGGCTTTAAACCTAAAGCAAAAACACCAATACCTGTTTCTATCCTGAAACCAAGCAGTTCGTAATTCAAAATTTTCCTTGGCTAGCCGCTTTTTGATGTTTCAGGGGCCCGATGCCATAGCCTAGTGGCTAAAGTCCTTGCCCAGCATGCACCAGGATCACATCTGAGTGCTTGTTCATGTCCTAGAGGCCTTATTTCCTATCCCGCTCCCTGCTTGTGGCCTGGGAAAGCAGTCGAGGACGACCCTAAGCCTTGGGACCCTGCACCTGCATGGGAGACCCGGAGGAGGCTCCAAGCTCCTGGCTTCAGACCAGCTCATCTCCAGCCATTGCAGCCACTTGGGGAGTGAATCATCGGACAAAAGATCTTCTTTCCTGTCTCTCCTCATCTCTGTATATCTGCATTTCCAATAAAAATAAGTAAATATTAAAAAAAAGAGAGAGTGATGCTTCTAGTGGCCATCTCCACTTGAAAACGATTTGATTCTACTGAATGACTGCAGATTATGTCGTTCAGGACAGGATCTCCAACGGTGCCTGCATCCAGCGGGAAGTGTGTGTCCCCGCTGCCCCAGCTGCTGTCCCGCTGCCCCAGCTGCTGTCCCGCTGCTCCAGCTGCTGTCCCCGCTCTGCTACCCCTTGCTCTGCTCACCCACTTGGCTCCTCTCCCTGGCACTACTCCTAATCAGGGATGGGTTTTTCTTGAGAGCTTGTTTGGAGGTTCTAGCAGGGGAGCGCAGCTACTCATATACCCTTGACCGAAGACCGGTCCTCCTCTAGCGGGGATGGTCGTCCTCTTCGACCAGGCGCGCAGCTTCGGGAGGGACGCACATGGAGCGGTGAGGGGGGAAGGGGACACCCGCCTAGCCAGCCAGATCAGCCGAATCAACCCTGGCGATCAATGGGGTGACAGATGTCGCAGCCAGATCGCCCTCACATCCAGGGATGGGTTTTTCTTATTGCTAATGCCTGGGTCTTCTCTTTCCTGGTGGGCAATCTCTGCCTTGCCTTCTCTGACTCTGCTCTGTGCGCGTCTTCCCTCTCCACCAGTTGGGCTTTAGCCCTGTCCTTGTTATTTCTTAGGAAAATCATTTGCTTACACAGACGCCTGTTCCCCTGTAGTATGCCTTGTGTCAGTTAACACCTTCTTCATCCTCTCCTCTCTTTTCTCCCTCCCCTCTGTCCCCTCTCTCTCCTCTCCCTCCCCTCTCTCCTCTCTCTCCCCTCTCTCTCCTCTCTCTCCTCTCCCTCTCTTCTCTCCGCGTCCCATGCGCAGCCACCAGAGCAGCAGGAATCATTTGAAGGCCTTCTGTGGACCTTGGCTTGGCCGAGCGAGCCACAGCCTGGCAGACCCACCACAGCACCCTCATTTCCTAACAGTCAAAACCACCGCATGGTTTCTCATGTACAGGCCTCCGTGTGTGTGCACATGTGTATGTATGTGTATGTTGGTGTTTCTACTACAACAGCCCTTTTTAAAAAAAAGTTTATTTACTTGTGATGCTGAGTGACAAAGAAAGGTAAGACGGAGAAAGAAATCTTGCATCCACTGGTTCACTCCCCAGATAGCCAGGGCTGGGCAGGCTGAGGCCAGGAGCCTGAAACTCCACGCAAGGGCCCACGCACATTGCTCACTTCCCACTGCTTCCTAAGCACATTAGCAGGGAGTTGGATCAGAAGAGGAGGCACCAGGGGCATGGTGTTGTGGTGCAGCGGGATAAGCTGCACCTGCCATGCTGGCATGTCATATGAGTGCCCGTCGAAGTCCTGGATGCTTCAAGATAACTACCTATTCACTCTTCTGGGGCTGCGCTGCTCACACCCCTGTTGTTGTACTCTTCGGTGCTGTCTTACGCTGTTCCCCAGGAATGGCCGTCATGGTTCAGGTGCTGCGTACTCCCTTCCTCCTCCCAACGCAGTCCTCACGCCCAGCCACAGGCTCAGACTCCTTCTCAGCTCATTTGCAGACAGCCCTTTTTAACAGACTGGCATTGACACACCGTTTGAGGCCTGGGTGGCATTCCTGAAATAGATGGCATGCTTTTCCAGGGTTGTCTGCCCATGGGCTGTCAGAAATAACCGCCTGGTTCCTTGAAAAAAAGGTCAGTGGAATTCTCTTAAAACTCTTAAAATCAAGTGTCACTGTTTTCATAATTTTTTTAAAAGATCTGTTTTTATTTAAGAGGTGGATTTTTACAAAGAGAGGACGGCAGAGAGAGAAGCTCTTCCATCAGCTGATTCACTCCCCAGATGGCCACAACAGCCAGAGCTGAAGTGATTGGAAACTGAGAACCAGTAGCTTCTTCCAGATCTCCCACTTGGATGCAGGGGCCCAAGGACATGGGGCCATTCTCCATTGCCTTCCCAGACCCTAAGCAAAGAGCTGGATCAAAGTGGAGCAGCCAGGGCACAGACCAGTGCCCACATGGGATCCTGGCACCACAGGGCAGAGGATTGTTAGCCTGATGTGCCACTGCACCTGCCCCAGATGTTTTCATCTTTAAGTTGACTACGTGTAGTATATCGTATCAAAGAAAGGTTTGTCCTGGAGAATATATTCATGTGAAGGCATGAGCAAGGTGATTTGATGAAATCCATTGTTAACAAGGCTGGCACTGTGGAGTAGCAAGTTAAGTGGCGACCTGCAATGCCAATGTCCCATGTGGGCATCAGTTCACATCCCAGATGTCCCAGGTACTCAGTGACCGATCCAGCTCCCTACTGGCACACTGAAAAAGCAGCAGAGGATGGCCTACTGTTCGGGCCCCTGCACCCACGTGGGAGACGAGGAAGGAGCACCTGGCTCCTGGCTTCAGCCTATTGGAGCAGTCTGGGCTTCTTGAGGAATGAATCAACGGATAGCAGACCTCTCTCTTTTCCTCTGTAAGTGAATCTTTTCCAAAAAAAAAGGAAAAAAAAAGTCCATTGTTAATGTATACATGTGATCAAACCCAACCTGAAAACACAGCATTTCCCCTACCCTGTCCTTGTTTCATTGTGCAGGTTTCTGAGAGATGGTTAACAAAAAACATTAAAAAGATAAAAGTCCCCAACTTTATGCTCAGTTTTCACAGTAGCTCTTATGGTAACCACAAAAGAAAGCTGGTAAATGTGTATTTTATTATTGGTTGGGAAATTCATCAAGACAACCTGCCTTTGTCCACAGTATGAGAACCAATAAGTGTTTAATACTGTTCTGGGGAATTTATTTTCTGTCTTTGAAACAGGTAGGATGTTTCTCTGTAAGATATGTAACACTGCCAGAAAAACAGTGAAACACAACTTTCAGGGCTCAAGCCAAAGAGGTGGCACACTTCAGTCTCACTACTGGGGTCACTGTGTTCCAGTCACACTGTGCAACGAAAAGCCTTTTTCCATTCCAGTCTCATTTCAGAATTGAAAAGTGAAAATCCAAGTAATCCGAATAAAGAGATCAAGAAAGTTCACATTTTTTCATGCCTCTCATAGTATACCTGAGACAGCTGGCAGCCTAGGGCTCAGCGTGGGGAGGTTCTTGGGTGTCAGGCCTGGGGCTGTGCAGCGCAGTGCACAAACGGATGTGGAGATGGGGAGAGGAAAGGGGGGGTGGGTGCTGGCAAAGCCTGAAGCCATTACTAGAATAACAGCTTCCTGGCACCTACAGGTACCGTAGGGCTGCCTTTCCTTTTGTGCTGTTCTTTACTTTTTAATGAATCTGTGCTGTTGGTGAATTATTGAAGTCATTCCCTCTCTCACCTTTTTATATGTTTTTCTCTCCTATTGTGTTCCCACCTGTCTAAACCTGGGAAAAAAACCATCAGGCTAACTGTCAGGTAGGTTCTTGTTGCTGTTTAATGTGATTATTAAGATTATCCAGAGATGGCAATGAAGTAACGTGACTGTTGGTGACTGGTGTTGAACGAGTGAGAAAGCACAGCAGCAGCAACAAAAGGCTCACTCTGAATCACGGAGAAAGCTTCTTGCAGACATATGCAGCTGTGGAAGCTGCAGGCTGTGTGCTTATGAGAGCAGTGTGCACATCTGTCGTGAGAACCAAGCCTTAGGGAGAGCAGCCGTTCCGGACCATGAACTTGGGTTACTTATGCTGGCCAGCATGATGCCATATTTTAGAATACAGATTATTCCTAGGGCTGCTTACTTGTCGTCGAGCGGTTACAGTCTGCGGGTTCATGTGTGACCCTGCTGTAGATATAACAACTGCTTTTATGAATCTGGCAAGGTTCAAGAATAACTCACAGCACTGTGCTTCAGCCGGTGTTTGAAGTACCTGTCCAAACACTGCCAGTGCCTTAAAGGTTGACTAGGAAGATCTGGGGTCTAGGGGGAGTGGTGCCATATGTTTAGTTAGTGCTCGTGTACCCATCACAGATAAAACTGACCTGGTCGAGCTCTTGTCGAAGGCACACTCATTTGAGAGCAGCAGAGAGAGGCTCTTTATTCTACCTTTGGCATCAGAGTAGAGGAATGCCCCTTCCCCGACATGAAGCCATAGACGGAGATGAGAAAGATACTTTATGAGCCGAAAGGAAAAGAAACCTTTAGCGTGTGCTTGGTGTATGTTTAGTGTGAGTGTGTGCTTGCATATGTGCGTGCACACTCCTTTTGAGTTCATTTTTATCTTTCAAGAGGAAAAATTCTGTGCTTCAGTTGCTATGCAACACAAACTTCTCTAACAGCTTTGTGATTTCGATTGCAGAAGTCTACAGAGCAAATGAAGAAGGTCCCTACTATTATTCTTTCCGTCTCCTATAAGGGAGTCAAGTTTATTGATGCAACAAATAAGGTAAGTGTCCCACGTCGCTTTGCTTCAGACACAAGTGCAGTCCTGAGTTTGTGACCTAAAATCCTTCGCTCTCATGATGCCTAATGTTCCTCAATTTTAACCATTTCTCACCCCACTTCCATAGTGCTACTCACACCTGTGGTTATGCACATGCGTGTACCCATGCATGCACATACACACACACACACACACACACACACACACACACACACACACACACACACACATAGACAGGTACATTCTGAGGGCTTGGTCTGAGATTCATTCATGTACTGCTCTCACTCATCCATGATACCATCTCTTACAGAGAGATGGCATAACCCTTTGACGTACAGGAAAAACTACCTGTACTCGGGGTATTCAGAGTACATGGAAATGCTTATTATGAAAACACAATGCATGAATTTCCAACTTTTTGCACCAAGATAAACTTAACCTCTTATTTTTCTTGGTGCCAAAACCCAGGATAAGCTTACCTTTTAATTCCACTTATCCCACAAGGTGTTGAAGTCCTGATGAATGAAATGGCAGCACTGTCATTGTTCTGCCATTAGTGAAGGTTGGGTTCATTTGTGTCCACTTCCGCAGGAGATATGTATGTCTCTTCTTTAGTACTTGAGATGAATACCTGACACAAGGAACACAGTGTGTGACTTCTGTTATTCTGTAACAGCGTTGAATTCCTCACCGCTGAGATGGAACAGAGTTACAACGGGATTGTCTCCTTAAGGGGCACAATCAGCAAAGAAGGTCAGGCTCGCTGTGATGGCGCCCACTGGTGACAGTATGGGCTTTCATGTCAAATGTGGACAAGCAGGGTGCATTTGCCCCAGCCAGGGCTCAGGACGGGCTTCAGCAGGTGTGGAGTCCCCCAGGTGAAGGCTCACCTTCCGGTAGTGGTGTGGAAAACGTCGTGTTCGGATGTCTGCGTGTGTGCATCCGTAGTGACTGGGTTCTGAGGCCCTTTGTCCTCAGGCCACAGCAGGAGAGGATCACTGGGACAAACACTGGGATCTCCACCCCTAGGAGGTACTGACTTGGTGAGCCACTATGATTTGGAATGAAGGACTTAGAAAGTGTAAGGATATTGGATGATTTCAGCATTTCCGGTGCTAGCTACCAGCAAGTCTGTGCAAAGGCATGCCAAAAGACACTCCTCCTTCCTCAGATCTTAGTCTCACTCTGAACCGTTGCATCCATTGGCCCCTGCCTTAGTAAGACAGAGAGGGCTTATGTATGCTGCAGGGCACCTGGCACTCCAAAAGGCCTCCTTGCCTTGGCTGAAGGCTGCCCCATCATCACCCACCCATGAGTCTCCTGCTCCCTAACCTAATGCTTTCTCTACTCCTCCAGAGATAATTCACCGGGTGTTAACTATCTTCCCCACCCTGTGGCCCCCATTAGACTATCTGAACGAACCACACACACACACACCCTCCCAGCAAAGCACTTGCTTCCTTTTATTCTAATAAATAAATGACTTTGGCAGAGTTCACAGAAAAAGAGGTGCCTGGTTACAAACTCATAAATGCACTGCCTGGCAACTTAGGAAAAGGACTGACTCACTAATCCCGATTTAAAAGGGAGAAGCACAAAGCAATCTTGAATTACAAATGGAATTGGAAATAGATGCAGCACTAAACTGTTTTAGATAAAGCATTTCATCATCAGCTTCCTGTAGCCTCTTAGTCCAGACGTGGCCCTCGATGGGAACTGAGCCCTGAGGGCTGTGCACAGTCTGCCAAGCAGCAGTGTCCCCCAAGGAAGTGACCTGCTCGGTCAAGGCTGGGCTCCACCGTGCCTCCCTCCTAAGTCTCCACGTCCTGACTAAATTGGGGACAGTGCTGAGCCTGCATCTGTTTCTACTCTTTTGCCTTCCAGGTAGAGTTTGGGTTTTTTTATTGTTGTTGTGTAAGTTGTTTCTTGATTTTTTTTTTTTTTGGTAATGCCATCTTCCAATAGAGCTTATGCTATTTTGAGGGGTGGGGCACAAAATTATGCAGAACATTTGCCTAAACAAGAGTTTGGTTGGCTTGTTAAGTAGGACACGCTGCTGCTAAGCAGCTCAGAGTCAAGCTCAGATGGCATCGCGCTCGTGTGCTCTGGGAGACCTTACAGGGGTCTCCGGCTGCGTCAGCCCAGCTGCTGCACATGCCAGAGGACCCTTTCCGAAGGGGCTGCTCTCGTCCCTCCAGAAAACCTGGTCTCAGGGAGGAAGCTTGGGAGAAAAGCCCTATCTGGTGGAGCCCAGTGGAAGGAGGAAGCAGAGAGGGGCACACTTCTGTCCCTTCACCATCACACACTTGCTAGACACACACTGTGAATTGGTACCCCAAGTCAGTTGTGTTCCTCGCTTGCCAACCAGGCACCTCTTTAGCTGTTTCTCAGTTCCAGGCAACAGATGGGCAAACAAAATCCCTGCTGAAGGCAGTAAGCTGCCCAACTGTCCCGAAGAACTGACAGGATGAGCCTGCACCCAGGCCTCTGTAGAACACACTTAGAGGTGGAGGCCGACCCGAAGGCCTGCACTGCAGGAGGACTCCTCCTTTCATCTGTGGAGGAGCCGCTGCTGGACGCCCAGCAGCAGGTGGAAGGCACGGAGGGCTCCCTGCTGACTCCTCCTCCAAGGGAAGAGCCCAACATGCTGGCTCCTTAGGGGCTGCAACTGCAGTGTCCTTGGGCTGGGAGTCATCCTACACGTAGCCAACTGGCTGAATTCTGCAAAGGCAGATGGTGCAGAGTGGCAGCCGCTTCGGTAGTGCCAACCCAGGTCCAAACCACATTCCAGCTCCAGGAATAGATCACAAAGTTTTGTTCAAATACACCTTCTCCTCTCCGCCTACCTGTATGACATCAGCAGGAGCTAAAGAGCAGTGTTTTTCAAAAGCCTGTACGGATAAACTTGTTAGTTGTAGCATATTTTTATGAGCCTGCTTTCTTCCTTAGACAGAGGTCTACGAGTTTTAGTGGTGGAGGAGTCGGATTTCGGTACAGAGACCATCAGAGAACACAGGCCACGGTGGGGACTAGAGAAGGAAAGATGCAAGTAACAGAGGGGACAGTCTGGAAAGGCAGGGGTAGAGAGAACTCCCAAGACACATTGGACCTACTTTGAAGCTTTGCCTGGGGCCATGATGGTGCCACAAACCTCTGCAAAGTGACAAGAATAGCATCCTGTGAATGGCGATTTTCAGAGAATTTGGTAGGGTAAAACTCACAGGACACTGTGCTGTAATGCTTCCCCAGGAAGTTGAGCTACCATATACTCACTAGCAAAGGATCTCAAGAATGTACAAAATACAAACCTAATTAAAAATTGGAGTGTTTTATTTCCCATGACAGGCATCCTGGACAGGGGAGGCCAGACTTCCCAGGTAAGGGCAGCCCCAAACCCAAGTAATGGGTGAAGGCCTTCGCACCACACGTTTTTTTTTTTTTTTTAAAGACCGCTAATCTCCTCATTTGAAGACATACTCCTAAATTTCATTTTCTGCTTTTAGAATTGCTATCTGAGTGGCAAAAGATGTTCATAACCTTTGATTTTGAAACCGAATCTTTGCATAGAATGCTACTTGTTCATGGGATTCCAGTTTCAGTAGGAGTTAACAGCACTGCAGATAATATCAACACACAGGAAACAGGGAAGGCTGGCTTCGTTCTCTTCTATGTGTTATTCTGTAATTGCCTTCCAGTCACACAGCTCGACAGGATGAGGGACGTGAAGCGCTTGCTGGGGGTGCTGGCAGGGGAGGGCATTCTGTAAGCATCTGCAGACATTGGTGGGTATTTGCAGCACACTGTACCAATGGCAGGTTATTTAAGACTGTGCAATGAGAAAGTAATTATCATAACTAACGCACTAGGGACTGTAGATCTGTGACAACAGCTGAAAGCTCCTGGGAGAGCATACAATTAGAAAAGCAGTATTACTGATTTTTCTTTTTAAATATGTGTACATATAAAAAAGTTTCTAGTAGGGTCCACAGCCAAGGTGATGCTCCATGATGATTTTGTGCTTTCAAGACAACAGGCCTTAACCCTTTCCTCCCGCCAGCATGCCTCAGTGGCAGGCAGAGACAGGGATGGGATGGAGGACGCATAAAGAAATGATGGAAAATGTAACTCTGGTAAGCTGGTCAGAAAGAGATGGGGATGATGAAGGGCACCACAGTGTGTCTGAAAGATACTGGGACCTCCAGCGAGGCAACCCCAAAGTCCATGCTAGCTTCACCACCTGCCCTGCGTGAGGCATCTAAACTCTAAGGAATGGTTCCCTCACTGCCAGAAGAATGATAGAAACCACAGGCCCATTATCGATGGGCGGTCTGCTTAGCCCCGCGATGTTCTATCCATGGGGCACAGAGTCAAGCCAGGCATTGAGACTTAATTAAAATGGCGGTGTGGGGTTTCCCTTCCCCTCGCCCTACACTGACAGCCATAGAGACTTCTTTCTGTACTTGCCCTGACCCTGGGAGGACAGGAACTATGGACACACACAGGCCATGAGGGTTTCGACAGTCTCCGGGAGCCGCAGTTCCTCCCACAAGTACAAAGGGACAGAGCTGGTGGGAGGCTGTGCTGCCTGCCTACAGGTGGATGTGGCTACTGGAAACAGTAAAACGTGGAATGGTTATTTGGTTTTTGAAAAGTGTCTGCCACCAGACAGCACTTGGTGAGGACTGCTACCCCAGGGTATGACTATTTTTGAGATGTTTTTAATTAAATGAAAACATTCCTTCCAGACTGCGTGTACATTGGCCCACCGAGATGCCCCGGATCGCTTTGGAGAAGGAAAGCAAACACTTTCCCGTTACTTCTCTTGGCTCTGAGACAGGCTGGTTTACACAGGCAGGTAAACGGTCATTTCTGTCCTTTCTTCCAGAACATAATTGCTGAGCATGAAATCCGTAACATTTCCTGTGCTGCCCAGGACCCAGAAGACCTCTCAACATTTGCTTACATCACGAAAGATCTCAAGTCCAGTCACCATTACTGTCACGTGTTTACTGCCTTCGACGTGGTGAGTGCTACTTCCTGTTTGGGGAATCGTGTCTGGATTTCATTGAAAGTGTAGTTTGTAATGAGCATAAGACTTGCTTGCTAACCGTTAGGTTCTGTCGAGTGTATGAATACGCTAGTGCTGTACTGACTATCGCGAGCCAGAGGGCTCAAGCCACAGAAAGGCATCTTGTAGCTCTAGATGCCCAAGAGCCTGGGTGCCAGCATGGAGGCTGCCCCAACTTGCACATCAGCCTTCTCACTGTGCGTCGCACATGATCTGTCCTGTGTCGACAGACGTCTGTGTCCACATTTAAGGACCTCGGTAAGATTGGATTAGGACCTGCTGGAATGGCCTTGTTTTAGGCATGGTCTTCAAGCACCATCGCATTCCAAGATTCTAGGGGTCACAGCCTTCAAATGAATTTTGATTCAACCCATAAGATCAAACCTGTTTTGGCAGACTCAGCTTTTCTGAATTCCCGAAGATATGTTAACTCTTCCCCACAATTTAGAACTCTGCCCCTAGCGGCTGGGTATCTCAGCTGCCATCATTCAGCTGCTCACATCACTTCTCAGATTGGAGACATCACCTTTCTCTGGTGGCAGAGCATAACAGAGCTCAGCCTCCTTGTTCCTTCCCTGCCTGGGTCGGATTATCTAAAGTTCCGAGGCGTAAAGCTGTGTCGGCCTCGTATGGTAGTTGTACTTTTGTATGGTAGTTGTACTTTTGTATGGTACGTACAAGGCGAGGCAGCCACGCACAGATCATAAACTGGGAACCCAGAGTTGGGCCGTCTTTCTAGAGACTGTGGTGTTGTAGCACTACTCTCAGCCCAAGAACTAGTTCATATGTTATAAGCTCAGGAAACGACTGGTGGCTTTTGAGACACGGATGCATCTGCCCTGATGACAGCATATGCTGCTTACAGACACACCGTTGATGCAGAGCAGTGAGCACTGTGCAAATGGAGATGAAAGCAGCACGGAGGACAGTGAGCATAAAATGACTTACACTGAGCAGAATTTGGAATTGCTACTTTAGCTATTCTACCTAGCTTGCTGGGTTTGAAATACATGTATTTAAAGAATTAGACAAAAAGCATGCTGTTATGCATTTCTGAGGCCAGGCCTCAGTGAAAGGCCATGCATAGAAGGTCACTTCACATAATCTTTTCTGGGTATGACTGATACCATGGACGGAAGCCAGCCATAGTCTAAAATGTACGCCACCCCAGGGTCCACCGGAGAGCTTTTGTATCATGCTGCTCACTCGTGGCAGTTTTTAAAAGATCGCTCACAGGCCTTTAAACACACTCCTATTTTGGGAGGCCTGTGGAGAATCCTATGAAGGAGGTAGGTGGTAACAGGAAGGCCTGTGAAGCAGAACCCTGCCCGGCTGCTCCCAGGATCTCGGCGCTGATTAAAGGCATGGCGCTCGGGCTCCCGGGAATGGGCAGCTCCAGGGCGCTGGTGCCTTCACACAACCCACCCTTCTTGCAGGTGTTTAATCATCACCTGCCATTCTCCCTGTATCCACCCAGGGCTTGGACTTGTGCAACACAGTCCAAAAGACCTCTGTCAGAAAAGCAAAGAGGAATCACTTCAAGTCTTTCTTTACAAATGTTTTAGTAGACTTCAAGCTTGTACCTATTTTTGGTACATAATATTCTATAATGTTCAAATCAGGGTAAACATATCTCATTTAGGATGAGAACATGAAAAATCTCCCACTTTCCCAATACACAATCCATTCTCGTACTACTGCAAAATACAACAACAGAATGTTGTGTTTTGTTTGTTTGCTTGCTCCTAGCCACTTTTTGAAGTACCCTTGTGGAGCTGACAAAGTGGAGCAGGAAAAAATGTTGGTGCATTCTCTGGAGTAGGAGGTATAAAATTTGTTTTAAAAATCAGGAAAGTTCCTCATGTACTAGTTTGAGTTGTTGAAAAGTTTGTTTATAAACTAGCATCAAATGCAAAGGTTCTGCTGCTGGATCCATGTTAACTCTCACTGCTCTAGGGAGAACATGTTTGCGGGCTTAGGTGTATTTAACCATGCTCATCTTCTCTTACTTGCAACATTCTATCACCTTCGGTGCGAGGTGCAGCCAAGCCAGGCTCAGGCATGTATAGGTAGTGGAAGTCTTCAGCGCTGGTGGGCAGCAGGGGTTTGGAGACAGCTTCCTCTCCCGGGCGCCGTCCTGCCTGGACACGGGCCATGAATGGATCCAAGCTGGAGGAGAAAGAGGAAATGACGATGTGCAAGGAAAACCTGGTCCCGTGCTCAGCACCCTCCTGTAGCAAGCAAGGCGAGAAAGACGACACCATAGTCACTTCACCAGCCTGTGGCCCTGCCCCAAGCGCATTTCCTGCTTTTCTCATCAGTCGTGAAGTTTAACTTCCTGATTCCTCTCTTAAAGCCTTGAGAGGACTATCCAAGGGGCAGAGAAGGACTTATGGCTGACATGCCACCAAGGGGGACCTTGAAGGTGCCAAAGCAGGTCTGCTTTTGTCGTGTTACTTAGTCGCCACCTGACAACTACAAATTGTACCTCGAGGGGGTGGTGTTCCACCTTCTGCTTCTCCTTTTCTTCCATTGAAAACGATCCTCAAACTGGTTGATGGTGATCCTGCAAAAATGAATAGCAATGGAAGAAGATGCAGAAGCGTACAGAGGGTTCAAGATTGAACGCATTCCCTGGCTGGTCCTTCGCGTTCAGAGTGAAGGCCCCGCCCAGCCAGCTGAGACCCTTCAGCAGGAGCAGCTAATGGTCCTCACTGAATAAGAGGTAGCACTCCCAGGGTGTGGGTCTTCAGCGCCTGTAAGAAGGAACAGGGAAATTAACCCTGCTAGGGCTCCAACCATTGGCAGAAGTCACCACCAACTAACCAATCCCTAAAGGCCAAAAGTGAATGAGTGTCCAGGGCCCAGGGATTTTTTTTTTTTTTTGGTGACTATCCTCAATACTCTAGATGCAACTCATCTTTAAATGTAGAATAGGTATTTGAAACAGTTACATGTATTTTACCATCAATGTGGAGGTGGGATTTTTTCCAGACCCTTATCCCATACCCAATCTGTAGATGCTTGAGTCCCTTACTTATTAATAGTGTACTATTTGCACAACATCCTACACCCATCCTGTGTATACTTTAATATCCTAACTAATGCAGAAATGATTTAATGTGCACAGTTATACTGAATTGTGATGGTAGTAATTTCAGGAGTAAAGGCCTGCTCATGTTCAGTAAACAGTCTTTTTCCCATCTCCTGTTGGTGGTTGGACCTAGAGGTGCTGCAGACATGGTAAGAGGGCCAACTGCAGTCTTTGTAACCCCCTGCTGACGGAATCAAATCAACCAAGTCCTCCTCAGCTGAGATTCCAAATTGGCTCTTCTTAGCTTCATAGTTTGGAAAGAATGCCTCGAAGCCTTGCTGCCGTACTGGTAACGTGGAGATCACCATCATGCTCACCTCCTATGGCCTGGTGGAGACCAAATGAGGTGACACAGACCTGGCCCCCAGGGAGAGCAGTCACTGGGATGCTGGTGCTCTGGTGGTCAGACTTGGGTGAGGATTTACATCCTTGTGGTGGGCTTATGACACGTTTGGTCCATGTCTGAGGAGACAAGATAAATGCCATATAAAGACACACTGCTGTCATCACTACAGGCCTGCCAGGAGTCAGGACAAATCCCTGCTCTTCATCTGACAAAGCAGCAGTAAACAAATACAGTCATACCCAGTTTCTCTCGGAGCTGTGCCAGGGCCCAGCAAGGCAGGCTACCCCAGAGGGGGATCAGCTGGACACTGGACATTTTAGTATGTGAATTTGGTCACTTTGGAGAGTGACAACTTCTTAAAGATGATCTCAGGACACAGGCACCTGCAGTAAGCAGAGAGATCATTTCTATTTATGGTCTGACCTTTTGGGCCCCAAGTCAGTTACATCTGAGGATTCAACCCACGATGGATCAAAAATGTTGAAGGGAGCAGGCACTGTGGTGTGGTGGGTTGAGTCATGGCATGGGGCATCTACAGCTGGCATTGTACAACGTGTTTGCATACTGTGCTGGCTACTTCAGTTCGAAACCAGCTTTCTGCTAATGCTCCTGGGAGCAGCGAATGGCACCACTAGTGCTTGGCGCTGCCACCCTCACGGGAGGTTTGGAGGCTGTTCCAAGCCCTTGCCTTTTTCCCAGCTCCACACCGACTGTTACGGTAGGCATCTGCAGAATAATCCAGCAGATGGAAGCTCTGTCTCTCTGCCTTTTAAGTTGATTAAAATAACCCTCTAATATTTGAGAAAAGAACTAAAGTTGTACTTTTTTCTTGTCATTATTCCCTCAATAGTATAAATAACTTTCCATAGTATGTGCATTGTATTATGTATTGTATAGCAAGTAAGCTCTAGATCACTAGAGGTTAGGTGTGGGTTACATGTAAATAGCACACTGAGTTATATGAAGGATTTGAGCATCTGCAGGGTTTGGCATCACTGGGGGTCCGGGAGCTGCTTCCCCTGAAGATACCAAGGGAACAACGTCAAAGAAAGGGAACGCCCAGTTCAGAAACACCAGCTCCAGCAGTCAGTATGAGAAGAGCTGGATTTGTTGAGTGTCCCATTTCCAGGGCTCCTGCTAGGAGCTTTTAAATCCTGGAAGACAGGGAAGTGGAACTCGCCAATCTCAAAGTCCTCCACACTTTGTTCCACAAATCCTCACCAAGTAGCCGAACAAAGACTGTTTCCTACCTGCCCTGGTTGGTCAGTCCCTCTGGCATGCTGGCCGGTTGCCTCAGGCCGTGGTTCCATGACGTCAGGGGACCCTGGGCCACAGTGAGTGGCCTCCGTGCAGAACCTGGAATGTTAGAAGACAAGTGGCAATTTAACAACCAAGGGCTAATTAATTTCCCATACTTGGGTGAGACATGAACCACACCTTGGCAGATGCAGTGGAATGTTCTTGGCACCCTTAGAAATCTGGTGCTTGAGGAACATTTAATGGCATCCAAAAGCA